AAGTCAGAGGCCCAGGAGAGGCATCACACAGCATATCACACAGCGTACCACCTCAGCCAAGTATGATAGACCAAGGGTTCTCACGTGCGTTGCACACAGCTGAGGCTTGGGTGACTACAGTGCCGTTAAATAGGTATTTGATTGCTGTGTCCCGAAAAGTGTCCCCATTTGGGCTTCCAGTACTATGAAGGTTAAGAACGCAAGAGAGGGAGGGAGCACCCAGGCGATAGCGAAACAACAGACGGCACATATGTGTTGTGCACCTTGTGATGAAACCTTGATCCAATCCCATGGGGGGCATGTCGGCACTGCGCTCACACCGCGGCCCATCCCTCGTCTGCTCGAAACAGGGAAACGACCAAGGAGGAATACACAGAAACAGACTTCTACCAGGTCACTATCGAGGCCCAGCTCGCCATTTACAATGGCGTCCTACTGGCCTGGAAGGAGAAGGTGCGGGTTGTACAATACACAATACACTAAAAAAAATGGGCGGGACGAGCACTGCGTCACAACCAACCATCGATTCGGTTGACTAGAAGCTCAGGCTTTGAGGGCAGCAACTTCTCGCCGTGATACCGATCGATTCCTGAGAGCAGGACTTGACGGAATGGTCGCACATTGTCCTGCGCATCAGATGATATAAAGCGGTGGATTGATATCACTTTCCGTGCAAAGTGCTTGTTGTATAGTGCCAATCAAGGTGACAATGAATGGCAAGCGTCCGCGGAGAACTCTACGGTGATCCGAACCGACAGGGTCGACGTTTTCCGATTATTCCCGGATGATGGGCGCCGCGCTTGTCTGCTCACCGTGAAAGTCTTCGACGGAAAGTTTTTTTTTTTCGTTGTATTTTCGATTAAAGGCACGTAGACTGCTTGCAAAGCGACGAAACGAACTATGTAGGGCGTCTGGCACTTGCTTGTTCAACAACGCGACTGTACACGTAACCCGTGCCATCATTGGATTACGTTTCCTTCGCCCCGTTGCTCCCCTCGCGTGAACATGCTCCACGCATGCCTTGTTTGCGTTAGATCCGCCACGATCTACCCCGCCCACCCACCATGATCAGGTGAGACCATCGTCGGAGCCTCTCTAGATAGTCGACGCGTGCGTACATGTTGACTATGTGCAAACTTCCGTGAACGGTTCAATTGACGCTGGTCGGTTCAAATAGAATACGGCATGTTTAGGCTCATAAGCACCAAGGATGTGGTGTGATCTTTTGCCCCATCGGTCGTGCCTTGCCTCATGGGTCGTGTTTCTTCTCTCCGGGATCTGTTTCCATTCCAACATCGCCTAGAAGCAGACCTATGGTATTTGCCACTTGTATTACCTCGGAACTTCACCACCGGAGTTGCAACCATCTAGCTTCTGTTGAAGTTCACGTGAACATTACAAGTGAAATCGTACTTGTGCTGCCCTGCGCACCAAATTGTGCCATCCAAAGGGTTATTTCATACGAATCCTATTCTTCAAAATTTCGAAATTGGGGGAGGCACCGGGGGGTCGAAATGGGGATGCTTAAAACGAATTTCAAAATTATCGATAAAGTAGGCCAGACTTTCGAACTTGCTTTTACGTTTCACGAAAACAAAGGCTGGACCGCTTCCGTCAGGACCACGCATGCACTGATCATTTTGCTTCTGCTCTTCTCAATCTATCGTGAACATCGGGGTATCGACACGGAAACCAAAAGTAACGTTGAACAAACATGAACGAGTGCCATGAAATGCGAAATCTCCATCTGTAGGCACCTGCTCGGCGATGAACTGGTGGAGGCCTACGCCGGACCGGATCAGGGCGTCCAAAATGTGAAGGCATCAGAATGGGAGCCTTTCATCAGGACCATGCCTCACTCCGAGTACCCCTCGGCCTCTGCGTGCCTTTGCGAGGTACGAGGTTATATCTGCTAGAGCTCGAAACCGTTTCGTTTCGTTTGAAGGGTGTGTCTACATATCTTAGCGCTTGCGGGATGGGCAAATGATGTCCTTTGGGTACTGACGGGAACATGGCGCCTTCGTAACGGTCATGATTTGAAACGTTTCTGCCCGAAGGGTGCCAAGCGAATAGCAGTCGGAACTGCTCCACCGAACGGAAGCTGGAGGCACGCCTTCATTTTCCCTTAAGAAGATAAACAAACGTGCTTCAGATAGTTGTAACGGATATTTTATCGCATCCCTCAGAACGTTGCAACAAAAAACGATGGGTTGTAAAATATAACAACCTCGCAATGAATGTCCAGTTACACCAATCGAACTAAATGTTACTGTCAGTTCTTTCTCCTTCCGCCCTCCTGGGCCGTCCCCTCCCTCCCGCGGAACGCTAGGGGTTTGCACGGCAAGTCGAGAACTTTCTTGGCAACGACAAGATCGAGCCTGCTCTTCAGTTCCCCCCGGGTCCTCCACCCGCCGGCTTGAACGCATCCCTGGAATTCGCTTCCTGGTCCGAGATTTCCCAAGTCTGTGGAGACAGTCGCGTCTGGAGTGGCATGCACTTCGCGGTCAGTGCACATCTTTGTTCGGATCATACGCGTTGTTCATTAACAAACACGCCCTGTTGGGATCGTCACTCACTGCACGATCCAATATGTGCCGACCCTACGTTTTGCCGTGAGTCTCCCACTCACGCCCGCCCACCTCCGTGTGATGCGATCTCTAATCAAGTTGTTTGCTTCCATATCCTGATAGTATCCATTGCAGTGCACTCACTATGAAGTGACAGGGGCGCATCCTGTCGCCTTCATCAAGCCGTTGGGACGGTTGTTGAAGGCCACCATTTCACTTGTTGTTGCCCTGCGTCAGGGAGCCGTTCCAGCGGGAGCCGAGCTGTGCGGAGGCGAAGACATGGCCAAGTCGATCCACGACTCCTTTGAGCGTCTCAAAGCCGGGGACGAGAGCGCCGCCGTCTTCAAGAGCGACGTTGGCGAGCTGATGGTGCGGCCCCGCTAGCATGAGACACGCGCTCGTGCAGTGGCTTGTGGGTTGAATGGTTGGGAAAATCAGAGAGTGTGTCTCTCTCTCATGTGTGTGTTTCTGAGAATGAATCGGAGATCGCTTCTCAATTTCTTGGATGATGGTGCGACCCGTCTAGCACATACACGGCGTTTGTGGGATGAATGATTGGGTAGAACGGAGAGTATCCGGTGCGCTCTCTCCCTCTCTCTCTCGCTCGGTTTGAGTGGAGGATGATCGGAGATCTCTGTTCCGTTTTCGAGGGGTTCATCATCGAAGTCACTTCTCGATTTGGTGCTGTGTGAACTAAACCATACTTTCACAGAGGTGTCCCTGTGATATTTATACAATAGCTACGGAAACACCTACTCTTCTGATACTGTCCGTGGTTTATTCGTTTGTGAAGTCATATCTGCAGTACATCGATGTTACACGTTCTTTCATAAGAACGCTCCTACAATCAGAACCTGCCCTGCAAGAACACATTGGTTCGGGACGCTCGTGCGGGGAAATGTTTTTGTGCAGCATAGCTTCTGTGGTCTAACAGGTCGTACGTGAGATTCTCTACATGTCTGGAGTGAAAAAACGTCTGCAATCTGCCGAGGTTACGCACGTTCGGGGACAGAAGGGGCGACAAATATTGTGTCTTCTCGCGGAAATTGCTAAATGAAGCACCACAGGAGGCAAGGTGGGGCATTCAGGCCAACGTCAGGTGAACGTTCCGTGTGATCCCGGGTGATGCGCATTGCGTCGCCCATACACAGCGTCTGTATCTTTGTTATATTTGTTGCATTTCTTCTTGTTTGTTGCCGCTCATACTCGTTCATGTACTTTCATTCTACAGAATAATGCCATTTGGTCTCTGTTTCTGTTTTTAGGCTGCCCGTTTCTGGTTTGGTTGATTTCATTCAAATTGCAGGACGTTGTGTGGAATTCCTGCAGATTGTAGGGCTGCCGAATCATGGTTGAGTGGTTTAAACACGAGGAGGATATATTGTACCGACGCGCACGTTGATTTGATGGGTTTGATGTGGTAACTGTAACTTTTGAGTTGTGAAACGATTTCTCGACTCGGGGTTTCTGAAAATCATTTTGGATGGAACCGCGGCGGACTTGATCCATAGGTTCACAGTCATTTCTGAAATATTCATTCCAAAGGGATAGTTGGTTGGTGACACGGAACCTTGGGAGGGCGAGCGTGTATGCCAAGGGGATGAGGAAGAGGTATGAGGTTCAGGGAAAATCGTGGAACAACTATTTTCTGAAGATCGGTAGATGATTTCGTCGAACGGCGTGTCATTCGGAGATTTGGTTGGATTCGCTTGATGTTTTTTTGTGTGGCTTGGTATTGTGAGTGTCCTGTTCTTCTACCTGGCGACACGTGCAGAGTTCCTTTCATACTGCAGATAGACCTTTTCGAGAACTGAACAGGGGGCTTTGGGGTATCTGAACTTGACACTGGTTTGCAGGGATTGTGGAGATTGAATCTGTACCTTGATGTGTGTGTGTGTGCACAGGTGGAGGTCGACCCCCCTTCCCCAAAATGTCGCATGCTCCCGCCTCCTTGTGAAGACCTTGACAAGGTCGACCACCTTGGAGAAGACAACCAAGGCCTCGGAAGGGGAGAAATCGAGGTAGTTCGCGGCCTTGGTTGTCTTCTCCAAGGTGGTCGGCCTTGTCAAGGTCTTCACAAGGGGGCGAGGGCATCAAACATTTTGGGAAAGAGGGGTCGACCTCCACCTGTGTGGTGAAAGGACCGTTGTGCAGAGGAGCCCCTGGCGGGGCTTCTGGCTCTCCGTCACTCTCTTACACGAATGCCAAGGCCCTGGAGGCAACCTTCCATCCTTTCATCGGGGTTCTGACAACAAGCTGCCCGCCTCCAACAAGTCGGCTTACCGCCGCCTGAATAAATGAGACGGAAAACCAACACAAGGCAACGCCAAAACTTCGTATCGCCCGCTAGAATGGAATTCCTACTGAAAAAATGTTGACCTAGATCGATCGACTGATTGATCGGGGGGAGAGAGAGAGCACCAGCCCCACGGGGAAGCTCGTGGGAGCTGAATGACCTTCGGATGTGAGAGAGCACCAACGTGAGGCTAGAATGAATACCGTGCGTGTGCAGTAGAGCGGCAGCTAAATCCTTATGGATCTTCTCCGCAAGAGAATACGAGGACGGGCCCCACTGACTCACAAAAGCTCACCAAAATGAAGGCACACACGAGGGTGGAAAATCCAGGCCCCCAAATAATATCAGTGGTAAAAATCAGGGACGAGGAGGAAAGCACTCCGAAACGAGCTCGCGTTCAAAGCAGCAGCCTTGGAAAAAACGTGCATTTTATCTTTTATCCGGAGAATTGCATAAACCTCACCCATGACGCCCGGTCAAGGGGTCCCAGGTCATGGCCTCTGATGAACATTTTTGGTTTCAACCACACTATGACTGACGCGTTTTCATTGGTCAGCCGGTTGGCGAGGTGGATGCCTAAAACGAAAACACACATAAATGCGCCCCCCCCGCGGCGCCCCCCCCCCTGGTGTTTGCCATCGGGGTTGGGTTTTGGTCGCTTGGCAACGACGTTGTAATACAAGCCGATCACTTCGTGAGCTCGGCAACCAGGATACCGTTTTTTTTTGCCTCTGGTTTTTTTTTGCGGCGACCATGAATGGTGGTCGAGTAGATTATGTTGTGCGGGGTCGAGAACCGTCACTCCGCGCAAAGGTGATGATCGCTTCACGTTGTGTTAAAATGGTCAAGCATCCTCGAGGCAGTTACACAGTGCTTATAGCTGTCTCTGGGAGTGAAAGCACCAGAAAAAAAATGAAGTCACACGCAGCTGTCATCCGTACGCAAGGAAGTAAGCACAAGATGCCAAACTCCCGAAGCAGGATGCAGCGCACCCTTCATGCAACTCGCCGAATACTACAGTATATTGACGTTCAACTGTGCCGGCCCTCGGCATGTACCTAATCTGTAGGTATGCCCATGAGATGCCTCGACGACACCGCACCCAGTATATATACAATAACCGCTGTACCGCACTCACTCATGAGGCATCGCAGCGACGGTACATCGCAGCGACGAGCTGCACTGATGCGTGGCTGCGTCTATTATGAACTTGTCGCTGAAACTGAACGCAGGTTGCAGCTATCCTGAGGGAAATTTCGGAGGGAACCAGCTACTAGATGATGGTTCGATTAGTCTTTCGCCCCCATACCCAAATCTCACGATCGATTTGCACGTCAGAATCGCTAGGAGCCGGTGCGTAGCGTGTTCGGCGGAAGTCAGCGACGGCGCTAAATCTTCATTATGGACAAAAAAAGCTTACCTTGTGGAGCTGACTGGCTATCACCGTTACCCCAACACCTGTGAGTCGTTGAACCCCCTACAGTAGACCATACTGGTGGGCGCCAGACGAACGCACGGCCAGTCTTGCGGCAGCGGCACGTTAGACGCTGTCTACAGATTTGCAAAAAAAAAAAAATGGTTCGTTGACGTTTCTCGCTAGGGGCTCTTCGAATAACTATTAATAATACATGCGTCATCAGCGGGATGAGTTGTCCGAGCTTGGGAAACGTCAATCGCAGCTGACAGTTAATTAACCGCAACACATGCTTTTACTTTCATTTTGGCATTTACCTTGATGACATTCCACCCCCAGCTCTGATTAGCCCTTTCACTCAATGCATGCATATGTGGAGCCTGTTTTTTTATTCGCGACAGACATTTCACAAGAACAATCCTCCTTTCCTTGAAGGAGTGTACCTCACAACCGAGGACAGGAAGAGGGTACAATGCGAAAAATCGCAAATGCGAACTCAAGCTCAAAGCAGCAGCAACAGCGACAAGTTGCGCGTCCCCTCCCTGGCAACAATCCACGAAAAGTAATCCCGGACATAAACACCAACACCAAATGGGAACGAAAACCTGCATGCACCTACATACATCGGGCTAGAGTAAAGCGGGCACTTGGTGCTAACCGCCTGGTAAGCGGAGACTGCTAGCTTGCACACGCCCACAACAAAAAAAGAGGTGGCAACACGGACACGAGTGCTTACGACGGCAGTGGACATGTAAATAAAACAAAAACTAACAGCACTGGGACCTACAAGAGCATGCATGGGTCAACAACAAGAAGGATCCAACAACCAAGTTCTGCACCACCCCCAAGGAACAACCAAGGAAAATTTCTGCACCACCCCCAAGAAACAACCAAGGAAAAACACTAAAGATAACGGTTACACGGAAGTAATCATGCAGGGCAACCAACCGCTGGGGAGCCAGATGAGCACACACTGCGTGTTGCGTTTGGTTTTATTACCGCCACCAGATTCAGATGACACGAGGTACAGCAGTAGTCATTCGCCAGTCCAAAAAAACACGCACAAAAACAAAGGAGAGTACCAACTCAAGCTACAACTACATAAGTCGCGTGCGCGGCATCCCACTCACCCGCTGTTGCGTCTGATCTATATCTAGCGTAGGCCGATTCGCACGAGGTTCAAGTAGAAAAAATTCCAGTACCATCAAATATCTTCCCTTTTCCGCTAATTTACTGTAAATCCGCTGGCGAGAGCGACGTATATTACGATCTCTTGGAGGCGTGGTTCTCGACGCGCGTGTGGATATCGTACACCCAGCCGCCGCTGTCACTCCGCCCCGGTCAGTTGCCAAACCGATACCCAGCAGACGTCATCTTGCTCTGCGAACGTGTGAAAACGCCGGGTTCGACCATAACCCAGACTTCAAAAAGCTTGTAGGAACAGCGATCCGTGCACCGTGTTTCCATCGCACGTACCCGTCTAACACCTGACCCTGCCCAGTCAGTGTGCCCCCCTCAGATGCGAGGTCAGCACCCTTGCAGTTGCAGTTCCTACGGCATCACGACCAACTCACAGCAGCCCTCCAGCGCTCACTGGTAAGTGAGTCAAACAATACTCCTTCGACAGTCAAACAAAAACAAAACGTGCACCCGTGTCTTTGACATACAATACCCCCACGTTCTCATCCACAGGGCCCTGTCCCCCCCAACACCCTGCTCTCACCGTAATCCACACGCGTCCACATCAATAGGCCGGATGGACTCAAGTAGGTAGAAAAGGGTGCAACATCAAGACTGAATGCACAACGCAAAGCAGCGACAACCGAATAAAACAACACGGAGAAAATATCTCAGATAAAAATGCATGGTACTCTCTGACTTTCCCCATAGGCTACGTTATAACCGCCAATCTAACACCCAATGCTACCCTTAACGTTCGCGTGTCCCCCCTCGCGCTTGGAAAGAATGTTCCGGCAGAGTGCAAACCCCGTTCAAGGATAACCAATCTGCTGCACTCGGACGACCAAAAGGCACAAACACCATGAAGCGGGAGAAAACCACACAATACCTACATCTTCGATTTCACCCTCTTCTACCATGGGAGCAAACCCGCCACCTATATCCCACGACGCCCAGTCCGCCCAACCGAGTTTGCCTCGGCACTATATGCACGGTCCTAGGGAGTGACTAACCCATAAGTATGGACGGTAGGCCATTCGATTCCCTTTCACCACACGACCGCCATAGCTGAGTGCAGCGAGCGCTTCTCAAGATGTAGAAACGGCCACACAAAAGCATGGTACAGTAGTACATACAAACAGAACGAAAGAAAATTCGCAGCTTCTACGCGGACCCCTCTAGTTTGGGGCGATGCGATACGCCAATACAATAAAGCAGGGTTGAAACAATCCGCACACATCATCATCATCATCATCATCATCGATAAAAAAGCATGGCGCTTACCCCTTTGTCAACGAACACAATCTTAACGAAATTATAACTTCTTTCCCGGGGGTTATTGTGGATCTGTCACTCGATCCACCGAAGAAACGTGCAAGCAAAGAGACGACCGAACATCAGTCTCCACACCCATCGCCACACCGGATATCCAAGCAGCAGCAGCAGCAGCAGCAGCAGCAGCAGCAGCAGCATGTGCCTTAGAAGCTTCCTCCACCGTGGCGACATTGCGAGGTCAGGGGTGTGCCCACCGCCGCCACTGCCGCCGCATCCGCCGGAAGGGGATCAGGCCAACCTGTTGTAGCTTGTCAACGCCTCCGTCCTTACCACCGTCCCGACATTCCGAGGTCTGGGGTCGCCCCCGCCAGAGCCCGCCGCCGCCACCACCACCACCACCACCAGAGGGGGGTCTGGCCAACCTCTTCTAATTTGTCAACCGCCCTTACCACCCACCGCGCTGCCCATCATCCGCGCCCGGCTACGCTGCGCCTCTCGCCGTTCCCCATATAACTCGAGTCGCCGTCCCCAAAGCTGCTGTAGTCGTCGTCAGCGGTGCAGAAGGAGTCCGCCACGCTGCTCGAGTCCCCGACGCTGCTCGAGTCCTCGTCCCACGCGCTGCTCGAGTCGTCGTCGTCCTCCCCGCTGCTAGAGTCGTCCTCGAAGCTGCTGCTGCCTTCGTCCGCGTCGCTACCGCCGTACCCGCCGCCGTCGCCGCTGGGGGGGTCCACATTACTGCCGCCGAACCTACCACCACTTCCGTCGCCGCCAACATCACCAAACCCGCCGCCGCCGCCGCCGCCGCCGACACTGCTGCCGCCGCCGTCGCTACCGCCGCCGGAACGGCGGCGGCGGCGACTACGCCGACTGCTTTCCGAGACCGCCGTGTGCAGGTCTTTCCGGGCCCGAGACAGCGGGAACGAGCTCCGACGGTGCTCCCACCCGCTTGAGCTTCCTCCGCCGCTGCCCGCCCCCTTCTCGGAGCCCCCCACCGGCGACGTGCCCCGCTTGCCGCCGCCGCCGCCGCCGCCGCCGCCGCTTCCCAGCGAGAGACCGACGGCCGCGCTGGCGTTGCGCAGCTCGCGGTGAACGCGGGCGCGGGACGCGAGCTGTCGCCCTTGCACCCGGGCTTCCGACGGGGCCGGTCTGTACGGGGAGGCCAGCCACTCCTTGTGCTTATCTACCTCGCCGCTGGGCATCTTGTCCTGAGCAAGTGGTGAGCGCGGACAGGCAGGGATGGAGGAGGGGGGGACGCGCACTCTCATGTTTTTGCATGCCTTGGCGATTAGTTGCATGCCTTGGAGATTGGACTATTTCACCGCGCGTCCTCGAGAGTTGTTGCGTGAGTGCGCGGTTGGTGTCAACAGCGCAGACGGCGCAAAAGGACGTTGTGGGTCCCCCGGCACAGCGACCGGAAAACAAAGGAGAAGCGGGATGACAGGTGCGGTTAAAACCGGTCGGGTTAAACAACCGTTGCGTGAGCGCCGTCGTCTTCGTCGCACCGAGCGAGCTAGTCCTTACACGCCGATTCAATACCATGGAGTATACGCACACGTGTGTTGTGACTCCGGGACCGCCGCCTCCTCTTCACAAACATGTCCGACCAAGGTTTCCTTCGCGATGACGGACAGGCACCAAACCTGAAACATATCAAATACGCCTTCCGCACAACACCTTCCGCTACTGTACCTCCGCATACATTGTGCCGCCACCACCACCACCACCCGTTCCTCTTGCGCGCCTGCGCCAGCAAGGACACCCGAACAACACCACAAAGTGCCGTGCGGTCGCCAAAAGCCAGCCTAGAAATGCAGGCTGCCGAAACATGCCACGAAAATGGGTCCCGAACACGAAGTCACCGTCGCGTGCAAGCTTGGCTCTTCTCATGGACGCCATTCTGTTATGTTCAAGCTTCGTATTCGGACGATGCCCGCAAGTTATGTTCAAGCTTCGTATTCGGACGATGCCCGCAAGAGACGACATCAGCCCCCAATATTTGTACAAGACACAAAACACGTTACGCCACCGTGTTCCGAGGCAAACTACAACAACCTCGCTCGCCGCGCGCTTGGCCTCATTGTCGACATCACATTTGAGGCCTCAAACTGGGAAATCAATTGCTCACCGCGCCAAGAAGGGCCCCCTGAAAATACCCCTCAACAGGGTAAATGTGCAACTATGCCCCACCTAACTGGTCTTCGCGCCAGCCTACCAGCCTCCCCCAACCCAAGCCGCCTCGGCAGGGGGTGAGAGGGGAGGTGGGGGGGGCTCCCAGAGCACACCGGCATAGCCTGTTACACATCTGTAATTCTTTATTGTTGGTTCGTTAAGGTTTGCTGGGCTGTTCGAGACAAAAAACACGTCAGCTGTGTAAGCTGTTGTAACCGTCATACCGCACCTGACACTCGGGGCGATTTTCCTGCTGCCTGCTTCTACTTTCCTCTTGCATCACCCCTTCATGATATTGTACTCTCACTCCGGACAGGATCACTTGTCTGTACACATTAAGATTTGAGCATTTCCTTTTTTGGTTTGCTGAGGTTCGCTTGGCTGTTCGCGAGTACAAAACACGTCAGTTATGCGAGCATGGAAAACGTCACTGACGGCAGCTGGTTGATTCACATCAACAAGGCAGCTGGTTGATTCACATCAACAAAGGCGTTATCTCCATCTTCCATAACGCCTTGATGACACTAAGCTCTGATGGGCCCGGACCCATTTCTATACATCAATATATACGTACCTTCATAGCCGTAGTCGCCCCTTCTCTAGCCCTCTCGCGCATCCGGCGTGCCTTAACCTCCTTCTCGCTCTCGACTCCCATGGCCAACTCCATCGCCCGCTGCAGGGCCGCCTTCTCTCGCCGCCTCGCGCTCGACGATGACCTTGTGCTCCCCTCCCTGAAAAAAATCACATCCCATGAGTGCGATTGGTTGGTACATACGGCTGCTTGGATGTCAAGGGATGGCAAGGGAAAGGTGGCTCCATAGCACGACAAGTTGCGGGTGACTATCCCCTCTCGCCTTTTTCCGCTACATTGTTCACGATATTGTTGGTGGGTGCCGGCGTAGAACCCAGGAGCTTTTCTTCGAAAAACATCTCTACGAAAAAAAAAAAAGGATTCCAAAGCAAGAGCCCCCCCCCCCCCCTCCCGTTCTATGCTTCTGTTGTACTCCAGGACATGTTTCTTCCTCCTGCAAGGCCCTTTGCCGGCGTCCAACACCATCCGCAATCTAAGTTTAATCTTATCGAATACTCCACATAGACCATGGTCTTCAGATGTTTTTTCTGTTTTCTGCCGCACTAAGACTGGCGTATTGGTCAGCCGGATAGCGCGGTCGATGAAAAAAAAAAAAAAACTACACACACCGACGCCTTTCATTGGTCAGCCGATCAACACGGTGGCCGATACCATACAGACGCCTTTCATTGGTCAGCCGATTAACACGGTGGCCGATACCATACAGAAGTCTTTCATTGGTCAGCCGGATAACACGGTGGCCGATGCAAGTGATAAAACACACACGCGCAAACACATACCGGGAACTCCCTCCCCGGCCGGCCTCCCTAGCAGCCCTTGCGAACGGCCCGGACGCCCCGACAAGAATAGGCCTCATCGCCTTCTGGTGGAGACCCGGCGTAGACCCGAACTGTTTCGCCGCGGTGCCCGCCGCCCTTGCCGCCGTTAGTGCCGCTAGCGCTAAGCGGTTGGGTGGCGTTTTTTTGGTTTGAAGGGAGTCGCGGGGCGGCGGCGGTTAGGTGACAAGGGTGGTTGAATGGTGTAAAACCTGGAAAGGCTAAGAGGCTAGGAAAGCGGTGGATGGCAATGATAGCGATCGCTTGGCCCGGACACGGGCTCACGCACGCACGCACACGGGCACACCGGCGGTGAATCAGCAAAAACATCTTGGAGGCCGGTGAAAGAAATGAGAACGGTCCCGTGGCATAAAAACACACACATGCGCGCACGCACGCACGCACATGGACACAACGCCGGGCAACTCAGGGCCCAGCGTGAGTGTCGCCACAGTAAAGGAGTGACCGCGTTCACCTGCTGGCTGACCATGTGCATATTTTCGGTCGTGCGTGCGTGTCGGACTCGCTTCACATGAAACGCCCACGAAACGACAATACATATGTAGACCCGATGGACCTCTTGGGCGGGAAGGCTGAGATGTGTCAAAGCAACAAGAGCGCGTGTGTCGATGAATTCAAACTACAGCGCACACTCCACGTTTCCGAATGATTCGAACGCAACTTTGCCAAGCAAAAAACAAAACTAAACGCAAAAGCACATGAAACAACGAACACGCCGTGCCAACAACTCGTCGAACAAACAAGCGCAGATGACGCCCCCCTCCCCTCCCTTAACCCTTACCTTGTGGAAGGTTGCTGATACGTGCATATACACCCAACCGAACTGCGTACGAGAAGTCGGTCGACACGCCTTGCTTGTACGCCGTCCATAGACAACAGCGGTACAGAGTTAGCGCACCTGTTCTAGAACCTAGCAGTCAAGAAATCGATATCGCCTCTAACAACTCAACATCTAATGACTTTATGCATAGCACCAACCACTTGTAAGCTCGGCTGAGAACCCCGTGCAGATAGCGGTCATTCGCAGCATACCCGAGAACCCCGGCCCCCGGCCCAAACTAGAGCTTCTCAAGCACGGGCGCCTACGGTACGTACCTCTGGGCAGGGGAATCCCCAGGTCAACAAGCGGCGACGGTGACAACTCCTCCTCCTTTTCCTTCTCCTGCGCCTTGCCTGTCGCGGGGTCGATCTCGAGGGGTGGCGGTGGGGCGAGGCCCATGAGTAGGCCGGAGAGCAGGGCACGGCCGTCCACGACGGAGAGCTGGAGGGTGTCTGAACCCCGCTTGGCGGACATCCACAGCGCGTCCAGCAACCGCCTGTGTGCAAGGGGGGGGGGGGGGGGCAAAGGTTGCTTGCCTTAGAATGTGGGTACAACCAGCACGAGACCACCACCAATCGCAGCAACGACAGTCACACATCCACACAGCGGAAAAGCTATCGTCTGGGACAAAGCAAACGTCATGTGGTCCTCTGAGAATACGGTGGTGACAACCAACGAGCCAAACAACACCAACACCAACACCAACAACGGCAACTACGACGGGTTCGACACTAATAAATTTTCCTCGGCGCGTCCAGCAGGCCTCCGCAAAAATAACGGAGAAACCACAACGAAGACCCTATGTTTTTGTTGATTTTGTCCTACATTGATACAGGCGACAGTCCCCCCATTTTTCGTGATGAGACGTGTACTACACTTCTCATGTATGTATGTGGACGAAAAGAAACAAAACGTGTCTGTCCCAACAAAAAGCAGAAAAAGCAATATGAAAAGCTACCTGCACGCCATGTCCAGCTCGTCCCCGTCGAAGTCCGCCGTTGCTCCCAACCCCAGCTCTTCCAGCCCCGAAACCACCCCGTCCCCGCTACCCCTCCCGCCGACTGAAGTCCTCAACGCCTTATCCGCCAGGAACTCCATGCGCTGGTCGTAGTTCATGGTGCCGTTGTTCAGGCCGCCCTTGCCGCGTTCTGTGGTTCCCTGCCTCTGCTGCTTCCCGCCGCGCCATGACCGCCGGAGGAATGTGAACTTGCGCAGGAGGTTGGGCAGCCCATGCTGGAACAGCGGAAAGAGCGCATTGAGAGGTTGGTCAGAGGAAGGTTCAACAGCAGTTCCGCACCACACAACATTAAGTCAAGATACAGCTGAGGAGGTTGGGGAGCCGGTGCTGGTACAGCGGGAAGAGCGCGCCGAGACATTGGTCCGAGGAATGTACAGCAGCAGCAGTCCGCCCCACACAACGGAACATGTATCAGCAGCCTCCGCAGGGTTACGTTCAAGTAAAACATGTTGGATAAAAGAATTCGGGAAGTTAGGTTCGGTTTTTGTCGGGTCTGTGTACCCCCTCCCTGTACTATTTCCTCATTAACTCCACTTCCCGCGAAGGCGGTCATGACACCAGAAAAAAAAATGCGTAACTCGTCAGCACCAAGGTTTCAGGCTCGTGAAACATCGCAAGACACGAGACTAGATGAAGTGGACCGCCCGCGTCCTAAACAAAACATCAGAAAAAACATGCCACACGTCGTCGCCGAGTCTCAATCCACTTACCCCTCGATGTTCAGGGTGTACACTCCTCGAGCCACCGCCACCGCTGCCGCCTTTCGGGTGCGAGTTGATGTGGGGAGCGGATCTCCTCCTCAGCTAGGAAGGAAGGAGATGATGGCAGAAGCGAGCAGCACACGGGGGGAGGCAAGTCAGAGACCGAATGGCAAGAGAGAGAGAAGAGGTCCTCACCCGCCAGGAAAAAACAGGCCCGCACGCGCGCTTGGACGGGAAAGGGTGGAGGTCATGCTCGCACATCGCTCAGAGCGATAGATACAGGAGGAATCGCAGCGAAAATCAGCACACGCAACAGAGTCCTTCGGACTACACACTCCTAGAACTACAAAACACCAGGAAAGGACAGCATCGACAGCACCCCGGGCCAACAGCCATGGATGAGCGCCACCGTGAATCGTGAACGTCGGCGCACAGGCAGGAGCCAAAAACGAATCGCGGGACACGTAGAAAGCGAAAACTATTGTCACCGTGTTCACCCCCCTCTGTCTCTTCGCCGTCGTTGAAGCAGGCCCTACATCCTTTAGCCCACTCTGGATAGGCGGGGGCCACGCTTGAGAGGCAACATTGAGACCCCCATACATCAACCGTATTCCCCTCTGCGGTACACTTCCAACAACAGCAAACCCACACAACAACAACGACCACGACAACCAACACACAGAGACAAAATAAAGCAGTTTGGCACCCGATGCTCTCTCCTCACGTTCATCGGGTTCACGTAGTGCATCTCGTCGCCCTCGCTCGATACAGTCGAATCATTGCGACTCAGCTCCTTCCCGCTCCAGTCCCGTCCACCCGCCCGGCCCCCCGTCATGCCGCTGCCTCGCCCGACCCGACCCAGCCGAAACCTACCCGAGCCCACCACGCCGGCTCGCGCCCCAACCTCGCCCCTGCCGCCTGATCCCCGCGCAGCCGTGGCGGCGGCTCCGCGGTCCTCGCTTCCGGTCTTCTTCTTCCGTCCCCGCCGGGAGCTCCCGCTGCTCCCGCCCCTGCGCAGCTCCCGGGCCCCCACCCTGAGCGGCGCCCCGGGGGAAGGCTGGCCGGTCTGCCGCCCCCCCCGCCCGTCAGCCGCCGTCCGCTGCTGCGACCCCTGGCCGTCATTGGCTCCGCCGCCGCCGCCGCCGCCTTGCTGCCACTGCCTGCCCGACCCGCCCGCCTCGCGCTCCGGCCGCGTGCCGCGCGTGACCCGCGACTCGCTCCGCCGCCCGCGGCGGGACTTGGTCCGCATCAAAGTCGCGAGGGAGGACGACGCCCGGGACGAAGCGGACAGACACGTGAAGAGGCCACCGA